CCCACCTGCTTCAAGAACGAGTCGATCCTCTGAACCTTTGGGGGCCAAGCACCGTCTTTGGAACTTGTAACGCAGGATTAGGGTCAGGCTTAGGGTCTAGGGTTTAGGGTGTAGGGTGTTAAAGAGTTAAAGCCCATCCCATGTGACTGTTTGGAAGTTTCCGGCCTTCTGCAGTAGCAATCTCAGCTCGCGAATTTTAATGGGGCAACCCAAAGGCTCCATGTACCCTTATAGTAGATACTTAAGCCCCAAAGTAGTCCCTATATAGGTACTTTAAGGCCTAAGTATCTACTATAAGGGTACATGGAGCCTTAGGGGCAGGGTAACCTGAGCAACGACGACTGCGGAGTCGACCCAGGTGGCCCCTACGGTTGATGGACAGAATCCTGCATTACCCATAAGAAGGAATGTACAATAATTCCCATAGTTTAGGGTCCTTGGGGTAATGCAGGATTTTGTCCATCAGCAGTATTATATTGAAAAGGCTCTAAAGAGGGTGATAGAACCAATCATCCGCCTCCTCGCCCCAGCAGCAGATCGGCTCTGCACCCCATAGACCCCTAAACCCCAAGAGCTTACCTAAACCCTACCTTAACCCTGAAGGACCTACCTTTCTAAGGACTTATATAAGGAAATCATAGTAAGGAACCCTAAAAAGGTAGGTTAATCAGGCTTAAGGTAAACCCTAAAAGTTTAGGGTATAGGGAACTGCCTAAAACCGTAAAGCCCCCGTAAACCCGACGATCTCCAGAAGTCTGAAACGGTCTCTGCTCGAGGCGCATGGCTTTCATGCAGCCGGCGGTCCGGCTGCACTGCCACACCGCCTTTCGGAATATTGGAGCTCCTGGACCCAGAGACCCCAATACCACTTAATTTAGGAATAGACCTTAAATTATAGAGGGATTCATATTATGATTTAAGCTACGTTCCTTAATTAAGGCACCAGCCCCCCCCAAAAAAAAACACCTGAAGCTTAATCCGTGCAGCCGGGCAACAAAAGCAGTATGAGTAAAGAGGCTGAAAGTGCCGGTGAGGCAGAGGGTTTAGAAGTTTGGGGCTTGGGGCTTGAGGTTCGTGAGGCGAGGAAAGTTGTGGGGAAAATGGTCTGCGCACAGGAGCCTTTTGCAGGTCGCCCCTTCGTCACTGCAAGTGAAAGCGGATCATCGTCATCATCGCCACCATTCATTATCATCATCATCATCATCATGATCATCATCATCATCGCTATCATCATCGTTGACATCATCGTCATCATCGCTACCAATCATCATCATCATCACCATCATCATAATCATCATCATCGTCATCATCATCGTCATCATCATCATCGCTATCATCACCGTTGCCATCATCGTCATCATCGCTACCAATCATCATCATCAGCAGCAGCACTATCATCATCGTTGCCATCATCGTCATCATCGCTACCATTCATCATCATCATCATCGTCACCATCATGATCACCATCGTCATCATCATCATGATCATCATCATGAGGGCTCATGGTTCGATGCGGTGGTTTTTTTGGTGGCTGGGACCTCAATTAAGGGGTATTGGAGCTCCTGGAAGCTCCGTCAAAAAAAATTTGGGATTCGCACAGGGTCCGCTTGTAGAGTTTAGGGCTTGGGGTTTAGGGTTGGGGGTTTGGGGTTTAGGGTTTGGGGATTTCATGGGGCTTTGTCTGGCTCCGATTGCGATGATCTCCTGTCGGCTAGACCAGGCCATGGGTAATGCCCAATTGCTAGTCTTGGTCTGTTCTGCGCCTCTTGGGAGTTTCCAAAAATTAGGGGTACCTTCTTTTGGGGTCCTTATCATAAGGATCCTACCATAGGGTACTATATAAGGGTCGCCTATTTTCGGAAACTCCCTCTTCTCCGACTCCAAAAGCCCAAGCCATGTCGGAGACCGCCAAAGTGGCGTGCGCCATACAGGGGTTTAGATTAGGTGCTGCCCCCATACAGTAAGAGTCTATAATGGGGCTACTATCAAGGTCGTAATTAAGGTCCTAATATATCTATGTTATGAACGCATTATTCAACTATTACTGGGTGGGGGCCGCACCCAAGGTATTATCCATAATGAAGATTCGAACGTATCTTGTTTTCCATAGTATACGGTACTTAGGAAAATGGCTGGAGTTGTCCAAGAAACTCTGACTTCACGCATCGTGTCAGAGCACATCACGAGCGACAGGCAGCTTCAATGCTGTTGAACGCCTCTGGTGCCTTACGGTTCGCTGTTTGTGCGCGCCTTTTCCATCTGCCTAAATGGTTCGGGCGTTAGGATTCAGGGTTCAGGGCTGATGCAGGGTTTAGGGGAGTAGGATTGCAAGTGCACCTTTAGCAGAAAAATAAAATCACTAAAATGCAGCCATACATTCTGCATTCCCTTGTCTTCCGAGCATCCGGGCTGCTTGCATGCTCTCTCGACTAGGTAGGTAGGGTCGGTATCCCTGAAATCCCTGTTGTGATCAGTGATCCCTCAAAAAAAATTAACTACGACGACTACTTCCTTAGTGACCAATGTGCCCGCACAATCCACCAATGGAGAGCAAAAAAGAAAAGCGCCGCATATAATGTAGAACCCTCTCCTCATCGGAGCGACATTCCAGGACGATCTCACATCGTCCTCGAAGCAGCTGGTGTGTGAACCGGTCTGCTGTACAAAAGTTGAGGGTTGAGTTGTTTTGGGGTTCAGTGTTTAAGGTTGCGTTTAGGGTTGAGAGTTTAGGTTCCAGGCTTTAGTGTTTAGGCAGCAGCGTCTGAAATTCCGTGCGGTAAATCCAGCCGCGGAGTCCCACAAAACCACGCCCCAAACTCTGGGAGTGCAGGGTTTAGGGTCCTGGGCTTCAAGGTATGAGGCTTCAAGTTAATTTCTAGAATTCTCGCGAAAAAGCTCACCGCTATGAATGCTGTTTGCCGGAGAAGCCTTATACAGCCTAAAGTTTAGGCTGAATCACAAGCGGTGAGATGATCCATCCTGGCAGCAGCGGGGTTGGCATGTCCTGTTGTCGAGGAGTTGAGGAGTTATTGTCTACCGGCTAACGGAACTCATGTGAACTATCTGAATCAGCTGTCAAATCCGCTCGCCGTGGCTTTGGCGGTTTTGCTAGCCTAAACAGGGGGCTTAGGGCCTAGGGTTTGGGGCTGGAGGTTCAACGGGGCCCTAAACCACTTTCATGTGAGGGGGATAATGTATAACACTTTCAGGTTCATTATACACAACTCTACTGCTGTTAAGACGAAGGCACTGCAACGGATACTATTGGTAATGATTCAGACCCCTCTATGAGCCCCAGTCCCTGAACTCGAACACCCCACATCCCTGCCTGCAACAAAGTGAGGTTCTCGAGTGTGTTGTGGAGTGAGTTTTGAAACTCTTCCACTCTGGGCGAGGCCTGTCGACTCGATTGGGGAGGGCTGGATGGGCTCCATGGGGTTTAGGGTTTAGTTTAAGGGTACGTAGAGGTTTGGGGCGTGATGTATGGCTTCAGCTTTTCTGCAAAGGTTTAGGGCGTAAGGGCTCCGAGTATATGCACGTCTATGCGTCTACGAACAAGGCCCGTTCCTCAAGAGCAAACGTTTTGGGTCCTCCGGAGCCCGATGGTTAGCGTGGAAAGCTCAGGATATCAGCTTGGGGGTTAGAGAACATTGCAGGTTTTTGCCTCCTCCAACCTGCAAATCCGAGCCTTGCGGGTTGCAGCGGCTGTTGAGACCGAACAACAAGCCAAGAAAATCTAGGCCGAATCGGGGCCGACCCAATGTACACGACTGTGAGGGTGAGTGCTGGGAACAACTGTACGCGCTGTGGCGCGGATCCACGCCTACACTTTAGGACTACTTCTGCAGCGGCTGTAGCCAACCTGTGGCACGCAGGCTTGGCCCATGGCCACGAACGCGCAGACAAGGCTACAGACAGCGACAGACAGTCATGGCAGTGGAGGCTTGACAGACCCAAGCAGGTTTTTGTAGCGAGACTCAATTCTTGACAAAGAAAATCCGTAAAAACACCGCACCTTCGAACCGCCACCATGTGATCATAAACTTCCCGGAACCCGAACTCAAAATACAGCAAGGAATCTCTCTGTAGAAAGCCACAGAGCTTCTTGTGGGCGCAAGCAGTCACACAGTCCAATGGAGAGCACATCCACCCAAGACCGCCTGAATAACTAGACTATAGGCTTGTGTATCAGATAAGAAAGGAGAATGCCCCCTGCACCCGATAAGCCAGGGTGAGGCTTTGGGCTTTTCCCAAAAAGCCAAACTGGACACCTGAACTCCAAAATCCACATGTGGCTTCTTAGAACCTGGGTCTCAGAACAACAAGGCGCCTCCAAGTTGAGGACCTACGTTGGGGGGGGGTCCCTGATTTCAGCAACTCGCAAACCCCTACAGGAAACCTACACCCCACGCCCTAGACCTAAAGCTTCAACTCCAAAGCCGCTTGCCTTTTCGCAGTATCCCGATCTGAAGCCCCAAACCTGGAGGCTGCATCTGAAAAGCACAGGACAGCGAGGCTTGAAGCCTTGCCCTCGGACGACCGTGAATTGCTTCTGCCAAGCCTTGGACCGGTTTAGGGTTTAGGATTTAGGGTTTAAGCTTTAAGGTTTAGGGTTTAGGGTTTTAAGGTTTAGGGTTTAGGGTTTAGGGTTTAGAGACGGAATTGGAGGAAGGGATCGGTACGAGGCCAAAGGAGCAGAGCCTACCCAGACTTGCTACGAAGAACATGTGCACGTACCTTTGTTAAAAAAAGGACCTTTAAGGGTTCCTTTAATAAGGGTACCATAAGGGTTTAGGGTCTAAGGGTGCATGTACGTATCACCGTCGGTATACGCAGAGATGAGAAAGACATCATCCTGCTGAGCTCCGGCATGCTATGCATGAAGCACATGTGCACTCCCCGAGGTCGATCTATGCTCAAGGGAACCATCCGAAACCCAAAACAAGCCCAAACAAAGGGGGAATGGGGTTTTGGAGTCTTTTATGCTATAACACTGTACTTGTAGTAAGGAGCCCCCAAAATGGTACTGGGAAATTATTTAAGGCCCCTATATTACCTCATGTGCCAAAGGGCTGGAGCACCTGCACATTCTCCAGTGCATGCTCCTGCCAGAAGTGTCGGAACCGGCCGGCTGCAAAAGTGAAGCTTTATATCTATTTACTTATAAAGGTAGATATATATATATATATATATACATATATATATATATATAGAGCTACAAGTGCTGTGAGTAGTTACTGCTTCTGCTGCCCCGACTCCTAATTAAGCCTGTTGCATGTTGCTACAGCATTAACTGATCCCGAAAGCAGCATCATTTCTTAAGAAAGGTACCTTACCACAATACTCTTTCAGGATTCCGACAACACCGCACCGCACCGTCTGAAGCATCTGCGAGACAGCCCCCCCTCCCCGTCCGCAGCGAAAAACAAGCAGCTCTAGACTCTAAACCCTGAACCTCTCTAAACCCAAGCCCCAAAAATGTCAACTCACTGTTGGAGCCTTTTATAGGAACGCTTTGAAGAATCCTCTGGGCAAGCTATCCCAACCCTCTGGGTTCCCATAGAAAGCCTTCGCTGTTGCAACGGCGCAGCCCATGGCTCAGCAGTTGGCTCGAGTCGAAAAAGCTGCCCAAGTGGGCGAAAGGTTGCCACCTACAGCCACAACAAAAAATAACTGCTACTGCTGCTACTCCTGCTGCTGCTGCTACTACTACTACTACTGCTGCTGCTGCTGCTGCTACAACGACGATTGCTACGACTACTCCACACTATCACGGACGCCTAATGCAATGCTGAAGTCTAGCTTCTCCGACTTGCAAGTGGCAAATGGCTCGGCAGTACAAAGACATGCTGCGCAGAATCTGGCTTTCCATTTTGAGGTTCCCGGGTTTGGGTTTAGGGCTCAGGGCTTAGCGTTTCGGGTTCCTGAACCGCGACTTCTCGACAAAGCCTACAACCCTAATGATCTGAAGATCTGAACCGCGGAAGAAAGCTTCGGGAAGGCACGGTGACCGGGGCGCCCTCTTCCGGACCGTCAATGGAAGCATGTAGATGTTCAGATGTCGTGTTTGGAGTGTGAGTCGGAATGCGGCGCAGAGAGGTACGATTTGGGATTTAGACTGCTTCAGGGGATGTAGAGACTGGGCTTGGGAATTGGGTTTTAGGATTCGGAGTGTTGAATTGGGCGATGCCCTTGAATTCAGCTATTGGCGTGACACGAGGCTCCGGGGCAAGTTGAAGCTTTATGGATGTTTGTGGACAGGTGTTTCAATGGTTTTGTGCAAGAAGATGTAGGGCTGTACAAAGGTTTGAGCGGTTGTGCACCAAGTAAATCTTGCACCAGCCCCCGACAGGCAATTTGGCGTCTTCAACTTTCGTGGCCTGATTGAGTAGGTTCCTTTAAATATACAGTCGGTATTGGATACCGCAAAAAAAGTTCTAGTTGCAAATGTCCGGTGTTAGTTTAAGCCCTCAAGGTTGCGAACACTCATTATCAACCTCAACAAGACTTGAAGCCCTTAGCAGAACCCTCGTAGAACCCCAGTCCACCAACAAGCAGACGGACTTAAACGCACTGCATCTCCCCTGCAATGGTCCCCAGTCGATGACAGGCAACTCAGAGAGCTTTGGGCAAGCCGATCCAAGTTCAGGGTTGATGGCAACCTACTCTACTACCATCTAGGGGTTGTATAGGGACTATACTACCCAACCTACTCTACTACTAGGACAATACAGGGTCCTTAATTACTGCATTAGAACAAGCTTCCAGGGCATGTTTTCGTATCAATACGACAAGAATCACTGAGAAATAATATTGGTAGTCGTTCAGGCCTCAATATTCGTCCAGGGTGTTTAGGCTGTAGTTACAATGTATGGCTTAGGGCTTCGGGTTTAGATTAGGGTAGTCTAGGGTGTTCACAGTTTACGGTCTCGGTTCTAATGGTCGGTTTAGGGTATATTTAGGCTAGTTTCGGGTGTACCAAATGCTCAGCAGACCTCGTGAGTCGGTTGGCAGCAGACTCTAAGGAAGGAAACCTCAAACAAGGTACTGAATAGCATTCATAACCCCTATCGTATCCCCCAGACTGAGCCATCAAGATAAGAATAGGGTCTAGGGTTTAGGGTCTGTCGGCTGATTAGAGGGCCTGCCCAACACTTGAGAGTCCGATCCTCCATCTGGAAATGACTTGAAACGAGGGGAGCCGGATGGTTGGACACTTCTCCTTCCACCACTCGTTTTGAGAAACGCGTCTCCCATCAAAAAACACATCCGCAGACCTACGCAACCACCCCACCGAATCCGTGGTAGCTTCTCTCGGCTTTGTAAATATTCGGAAGCGAGTGATGATCATACGACCAAATGTTTGATGATGATAGTGGGTATAGTGATGACGATGCTGTTGAACAGCATCCTTATGATCATGAGCGTTCTCGTGATTTCGTGGTCATTATCGTCCGCTGATGGTCGTGAACAACGCATGCATCGCGAGCATCATCAACATCATCAACATCCTCAATGTCAACGTCATCATAATCATCACCATCATCCTCCTCGTCCTCTTCATCTTCCCCAGTCCTCTAGATATCTTACATGATGGCCGGTTATGAACCCTTGTGATTTGCTCTTCATACTTGACATTGTCGTCATCCTGGCGGTCGCTGGCAAGCTCGATGATGGCAACCTAACCCTAAACCCTAGACCCTAAACCCTAAACTCTAAACCCTAAACCACGGATTCAGACTCGAAGTGGCGGAGCTCTGCGCTTCTCCCCGGCGCAGGGTGCACAAAATGAATTTGCATCCTTGTGTGCCGCATGGGCTCGCAGCAGCTGATCCCCAACCCTAGAAGCGATAAGCCGCAGAGCTTGGCGATCTTTACCCAAAGACGCCAAAGTAGTTCCTTTTGGGGGTTCATGTATAGAATCCTATAAGATAATCCCTGAAAGGAACTACTTTGGGGCCCCTGGGTAATAACAGGGACTGTGGCAATTATTCAAACCGCCACAGTGCAGCTCGACGCCTCACCTCCAAATCGTTCTGTTGGAACCCTGCTGTTCCAGCACCTCAGCAGCTCAGCATTGGGCTGTGCTGACATTGCTATTAATATGGAAGTTGGGGGTACCTTTTTTGGGGGTCCTTATATTGGGGATCCTATTGCTTAGGGTACTATATTAGGGTCCCCTATTTTCGGAAACCCCCATATGGGCTTCGCAGGGAGTCATGTGAAAGCACTAGGGCCAACAGGGTCGAAGCATTCTGAACATTGCCCATAATCTGCACCCCGACCTAGACGTTTCAACCTACACCCCTCGAGCAATCTAGGTGCCCACTAGTAACCAGGTAAGGTATAGTGTACCACATACGTTCGTGGCTCCACTTCCTAGATTCTCGCAGCCGTCTGGATAACCCGTGAGCCATGCAGGAATAAATCCGAAAACTCTAACAAGCTCTTACCCTCATGCTAACCCCTGACGATCTTGGAGCTCAGGGTTTGCTTAGGCCGGAACGAGCCTCAAAAACCCTAACCCCCCCCCCCCCCCCCCCCCCCCCCCACCCATTCCAACCCTAAACACGCCGTTGAGCTCGAAACCCCTGAACTCCGAACCCTGAGCCCCATCTGCTCAAACCTCAACCCCTTCCCAATTCCGAAACCTCACTCATCTGCTGCTTCGGAAGCTCTTAAAGCCTCTTAGAACCGACTTTCCGAATGCCTGAAGTAGTCTACACTTGGGTATTGGGTCTAGAGTCTAGGGTCTAGTCCAGGGTTTAGATTATACCGTAAACTACGTGCGTCTCCTTTAGGGCTTTTTCATGTATCATGATGAAATATGCTGCCCTGGGAGGAGGGTCTTCAACCAAAGCAACATGTCGTAGCAATCCTTGATCTCGCGGCTAATTGCAAACCAAGGATACTAAAGAGACCCTCGCCAACAATAACAATACACTTTTAGTAGCCACAAGGAACCATGCAACGTATAATAAGCAGAATGAGAATGATCATAATCAATACCTTCTTGAGTCGCTTTAGTAGCCACAAGGAACCATGCAATGTATAATAAGCAGAATGAGAATGATCATCATCAAAACCTTCTTCATTCGGACCTGCTCGACGGTGCTCCGCCATGTCAAGCGCAGTGGCTTCCTTGCAGCCGAGGGCACTGAGGTGGTTTCGGCTTTAGGGCTGTTTCGGGCTTCGAGAGTAAGGGTTTTGGATTCAGGGTATAAGGTCTAAGTTTGGGGCTCAACTTGTCCATTCACGTCGGGTTTAAGTCGGGGACATCTGGTGCTATAATCAGTGCTGCGAATTCTTGCGGTTCCGACATGTCGTGCCACTATGCCACGAAGCACAGCCTGGAATCCACGAAACGCGATGGCTCCAGCTTCACAGCTGGAGTTTGAATTAAGTTTTATACCATCGCGACCCTGGACGACATAATTCGGCCCTACATTGCAATGAAGTCGCCGAAACTTCTGAAAGAGATTGAAAAGAACGAAGCAGAATCCAGCAACGCCGAGAGGCGGCAACAACGTGGAGAACTCGCGCACCAGGCGCTCACGGATGCCCTCCTCCAATTAGAGCTGCGAATGCCAGAAATCAAGGGGTCCCAATATAGAACCATAATGCAGGGGACATATTGGAATGGGGTTTGGGATGTATATTGCACTGTAGTTAGAGTACGGAAACCCCCAAAACCCTCTTCTAATTATTAAGGCCCCTACGTTAATCATTCTCAATGTGACCCCCACATCACGTCTGGCGCCCCCGCTTTTCTTAGACCACTCCCTACCCAAAGGCCCCAAAGTAGTTCCTTTTTGGGGTTCATATATAGAATCCTATAAGGTAATCCCCAAAAGGAACTACTTTGGGGCCTCTGGGTACATGTGCATCCTCCTCTCTGCCAGCTAGCCAAGTCTCAGAAGCGACATGCTTGCACTCTCAAGATACTGGCCACAAGGATCCTATTGTAATGAGCACGAACTCAAAAACTATCGTGATATTACTGTCGATGCTGGGAGAAGTGCTTGAATTTATGTAGGCATGCATCCATGCATGCATTCATACATTCATGCATCTATGTCGCGGTCCAAATGCGGTAAACATCGCCTTCAAGCCATCCCCATCCCAATCCGCAAGAAAACACACGAATTTGTAGGTGATCAAGAAGGGAATTCGGTTTACAAGTCCTGGCCTCTGCAGGGGCACCTCCTCATCAAAAGAAATCGTCATCAACATCATCATCATCACCGTCATTATAGATATCATCATCATCATCATCATCAACATAGTCAAAATCATCAACATCATCATCATCGTCGTCATCAACCAGACCACCGATGTGATCCTGGACATGGACATTCCAACTAGAGACACGTTTAGGAAGACAAACCTCGAGGAACACAGAGCTCTGTATTGCCCAGAATACAGGATTTGGAATCCTACGCGGATCTCTACGGTTTGGATGGGGGTTCATAGGAGGCTAGAGGCATTATCAATATTGATGTTTGTAAGGAAGCCCTGCCACCTCACGCGTCGTGTCGAAGCACATCACCGGCAACAGGCAGCTTGCAATGCTCTTGAATGCCTCCCGTGGAATGTGGTCTACGTTGTAGGCTTCAGGTTTTAGTTTGGGCTTTAGGACTGATTGTTTGGGCTTGTGGCGAGTGAACGGGCAAGGATTGTGGGTTGAGTTTTGGGCTTACCGCTCAACATCTATCATCCTGAAGTGCCCACTTCCACTTGTATGGAAGGGGCAAAAATGGATGTAAATACATTGCCCTGAAAAGGATCAAACAACTGGCAGTTAGAAAGAATCCCAAACTCCAAAACGCCACACAAAGATCCCAGAGCACCCACAAAAATCCTACCCACTCGTATAAGAATCCGCATTCAACATGCGGTCCTGAACCCTCACACCCAAAGCCCCTACCCTGAACTTGTAAAAAACCCTGACGTCCGAAACCCTGAAAACCCCTAAAAAAATCATTCAGGGAGACCCCAAACACTTACACCCTCAAAACGCCGTCGAGCATGTATGGGACCTTTCTAAAGCCATTACCGGATCCATTAAAAGCGGGCCCCAACCGCCTACATGTTCCTCTACAACCTACACATCTAAGAGTCTACCCCCAGTCCCCCAAAATCCGCATACAACTTTTGGAGAAGCCCAAAAAACCTTCCATGCTCCTCTTGAGCATAGAACGCGTAAGGGGACTCTTGCAATGAACCCCTAAAAGAACCCCCGACAGCCAAACCCTAAGCCTTCAACACTCCTTGTAAGAGAGGAGCGGGCAGAGCCATCATGGGGCGCTCTCAGACAAACTTCTTACAGAAGTATGGGATTCCTTGTACCGGTGTCTTTACAAACGCTGCTGGTTTATTCAGGGACTTCAACCCGCACACCCTAAACCCTAAACCTTAAATTAAAACAACTGAACCCTAAACCATAAAACCCAAAAACCATAAAACCCAAAAACCATAAAGTTCAATTCCAAAAAAACCCAAACTCCAAAAACACCAAAACTCCAAAAACGCCAAAACTCCAAATACCACCTTAAAACCAAAAGGCACCCAAAACCCTAAAACCAAAACACATCAACAAAATCCAAACATCCCAGGGCCTCCAGGGCGCGCTCCATCGACTCGTTGTTCCCCATCACGGCTTCCTAGGCCGGCCCTCTAAAACCTTTTGAAAAGGATTCAGGGTTTAGGGTTTAGGTTTATATAGGGAAGAAGATTCGTACATAAGATCTCAGTATAGGCCTAATAATGCCAGGAAGGAACGCGCGGGGCGAGGAACGGGAAGGGGTCAGGGATGCGATGCGGTTTAAGGCGTCTTAAGATTGACTGGAGCTTAAGAGTTTAAGGGCTTAAGGGTTGAGGCTTTACGGGTTTAAGGGTTTCAGAAATGAGAGGGTTTAAGGGTTTATGGGTGTTCAGGGTTTAAGGGTTTCGGGATTTATGGTTTCGGGGTCATTAGGAATTTGCAAGGTGTACTAATAGAATTCTGTTTACGGTTCTGCAGGGCTTTGCAGGGGCTGACAGGTTCATAAGGGGCTTTGAAAAGCCGTTTTCCGGGCTTGATAGGGGTGAGGGTCGGAATATGAGATTTTTGCTGTCAGGGCTCCGGATTATATGTATAGTAGAATTTCAGAATATCCCCAATGCCCTATTCTGACTGCCAAGGCCCCTTGTAACCCCTATAGACCTTTATCTAAAAGGAACCCTTTCCTTGGGCAAGGCTTCCAGGACCCCATCGAAAGTCTGGGAATAGGGACGACCGCTTTAAAGTTGTGGAGGGTTTGGAGTTTAAGCTTCAGGGCTCTTAGGTGTTAGGAGACCGTCACATGATGCGCAGAATCGAAGCAGTGCAGACATGACCGGACCTTGACAAGGCTATGTACCTTGGGGAAGGTACATGCTGCACAAGATCTCTCAGGACTTCGGCAGTGCTTCTCATCTGTCAAGCCTGGCAGGCAACTGCCTGGGCTCAGGCTAGCCAGGCTAAGTTCTAAACGATTTGGACCGTAAAGTTTCTCAGAGGGGAAAAGGAGGGACTCTTAATATAGCTATTATATACCCATTATAGAGCCCATTATAGGGTAGGGGTCCCCATTAAGGGTCCCTCCTTTTCCCCTTTAAGTTTCAGTGAGTCTTTGGATGCGGGTCTATGTGTTTAGGGCCTTGGCCCTGCCAAGATTCTGGTGCTTCCCTCCGCACGATAGGCAGCTCCTTCCGGACGGTATCCATGTCCTGAGCATGCAAGTGTCGTACAGCTTCATGCTGCACCCTAAACCCTAAAGCCTTAGCCCCAAACCCTAAACCCTAAACCCCCAACCCTAAAGCCCTCTGGAATGAAGCCCCTCCCGTTTATAGGGACTATTAAATGACTATAACTATGATAAGGATCCTATTCGGCCTTAAGCGAAACCAGTTCAGAGCTCCATCCGCGGCAGCAGCGCTGCGGCGTCCTGCTGCCACTGCATCTCCTTGCAAGCTTCTTTTGGGGAATTTCCAGGGGCTTCATCATGGCTTGTGTAGAGGGGACTTGTAGTAGGGATGTTACATGGCTCTACAGGGGTTTAAAAAGTGGGTTTACCACAGTTTACAAGGCGAGTTAGGCAGGCAGGTCATATACTTGCAGTTACAGTGCCCTGACGGGAGTTATCTTATTCACAACCTTACTTCTCATCTACTACGTACAAACTCCCCCGATCCTGCGAGGAATGCAGCGCAAGAACGCCTGAAATGGGAGAATTCAGCCAGCATGATTCCGAACCCCTACACACATGAGCCTGACCCTAAACCCGCTCCGCTGCGACTATTTCGGGTCTTGATTCGGGGTCTGGTCTCTTTGCAAGCTGCCGCAGGACCTCTGTGGAGGCCTTTACGAACTAGCTCTTGATGATAGATATGGCATACTATAATAAATATATATATATATATACACATACATACATATATATATATATATATACACATATATATATATATATATATATATATATCCCCAAGCCCGATTCCAAAGGCCACCCTCAAACCGAAATGGTAAGCCCACACGAAGTTGAGATTCTCAGACGTGAAGCGCCTCGATGCGATCGTCCCCGGGTCGGCGGAAGGCAGTGAGAGTTGCAGGCTGATTCCTTGGCTCCATGGCCAACTCCAGAGAATCCTGTACCAGAAGCCCCACAACAGCCATTTTGACCCCCCAAATCCTGTACCGATACATACCCTAAACCCCAACCCCTAGACCCTAGACCCTAAACCCAAAGCCCTCAAGCCCTAAACCCAAAGCCCTTAAGCCCTAAACCCAAAGCCCTTAAGCCCTAAACCCTAAGCCCTAAAGCCCTAAACCCAAAGCCCTTAAGCCCTAAACCCAAAGCCCTTAAGCCCCTAAGCCCTAACCCTAACCCGATACCCAAAACCACGGGCTTCTCGGAGCAGAGCGGCGCTGGCGCCCGTGGCCGAGAGCTTGGGGGTAGGAGCCGACCCTGGGCGGAGGAACCCTCCCAAGGGTCCGAAGTACTTTCATGGGTTCAGGGTTTAGGGTTTAGGGGTCTAGGGTTTAAGGGTGTAGGGGTTTAGGGTTTAGTAACAAACCTAGCGGTAGCAACCCGAACCCAAAACAACCCTAAGAGCCCCCTGCCCGCGGGCCTCGACTGCCGCATCTGCGGCCGCGCTTCTTTTCCTCGAACCAAAAGCCTCCGAGCGTGCCTTCGCAGTGAGAGCTTCGTTTGACACTGGTTCAAAAGATTCTAAAGTTAAAGATTGGTCTCGGCAGCTTCCTCGAGACACTTGAACGGCAAGCGAAAAGAGCCATAGATCTCGTTCCACCACTGACTAGAGTCCTTCGGCTTAGTGAGCACATCAGCAAGTTGAAAGCCCGTGGGCAACCAAAACAGTGGTATGCGATCATTGGCCTTTTCAAGGTCAAGACTCTGTCTAAGAGCGGACAGGTCGATGGCTAACCGTTTATCGGTGGGAATCTTCGGCACACCTTCTTTATGAAGGTGGTCGTAGAGGCTTTTGCAATCAGTGATGCATTTCATCCTTCCGCCGGCAAGAGACTCTACTCGCTGTAGTTTGCCAGTGATAATCGTCTGAACGTAGGAGCGGATGTACTGTCCGGTCTCGACAGCTTCAATGCATCCAGTAGTTTCAGCCCCGAAGGTGGACCGACACACGCGCTGTGTTGCACTTGACTTCCAGTCTAAAACGCTGCAGACTTGTCCTCCTTTGCGGTAATGCTCTGTGTCAGTCAGGACAAGCAGGACACCAAGCTGGCTAGCAACATTGGAGTTCGCTCGCTTGGCCTTGCGCTCTTTCCAGTCGTATGGGCTACCAGTCATGGTGCCGAGCTCATGATCAGCTTGCGATAATCTGAAACCCTCCTCACCAGAAAGCTTGGCGTTCGCCCACGCCGCATCGTGGAAGACCAAAAACTCGAGCTGATCAAGATTAAGAGGTCTAAGCCAGATCCCTTTATCCCTATGATCCCAAGCCCTACGCGCTATCTGATTGCTAAAGCGGAGGTCACCAACGCTCGGACAGGACTGTAGTTGCTGAGCAAGCGATACTGAACATTGCAAGTCAGGCCTGGACTGCGAGCTCAGCCAGCTGAGGGCACCGACCAACGATTGATTGTCGATACGCTGTTCTTCAGTTGCTGGTTCTTCGTCTTTCTGCTCAGAGCTAATGGGCACTTCAAACAACCTGCTGCTCGCATAAGCTTCTTGGGAAAAGAAGACACCCTCATCGTTGACCTTGATGTGTGAGCCCAAATAATCGAAATCGTCGATGAGCCACTCCCCGACCGGGAAGATGCCAGAAAGGGCTTCTCGGATCAATCGACTGAACACGGGACCTCCTACCACAAGGAGATCATCAACATGAACGCCGACATATCCAACAGGTTCTTCGGTTTTAGCGCCATCAATGTCGGGCTGGTCACATGTGGTATCCCTGATGAGCTGAAACAAACATGCATCAAGCGGGTTCTGTACGAGCTTGTACTGCTGGCCTTCATGGACAATGCGGATCCCTAGCATGTCGCTTCGAAGTCTCTTCCACCATTTACGCGGGGAGTCAGGGAGTCCAAAGACGCCTTTAGTGATTTTGAGGATTTGTTCAGGGTGCATGCCAGGCAATCCAGTTCGGGGTTGAGCAAGATATAGTTCCCTTTCCAGAGCATCTCCGTTTAGGAAAGCAGCTTCAATGTCACCGGCGGAAGCCGACCACTTGTGCTGGGCCCTCTTACTTGCGACAAGTTGCAACAAAGTCAGAACCGAAAGACGATTGATTGTAGGCGCATCCGTCTGCAACGTATGAACATCTGGGTCTCGGTGTCCTCCGATCACTAATCTCGCCTTGTGTCGCCATGGAAGAGTTTCATCAAGCTTCCTTCGGGCCCAATTCTTGTCTTTGTAGGCAAATCTGGAGCTAAGTATTCGACTAGGATCAACACGTTGTCGAATGGCCCGGGATTCTTCCAAGCTGATTGGTTCTAATGCTTGATGTTGAAGATGTTCCTGAAATTGTTTGGCCTCTGCGTCACGAAAACCCTGATGTTCGCTCTCCGGTATCGCCTTCCAAGGGAGCTCCTTCTCATACTGCTTGGCAAGAGACCGTTCGGTATAGCAGCGCTTGAGCATGTGAACAGAATGTGATCCCTCGCCCGGTCCTTTGGTACGAACCCTTTTACTCACGGTGACGGTGGAGCCCCTAGGATCTCTTCCTCTTTCTCTCCGAGGTGCACTGCTAGCGCTTGCACCCTCCTCGAGCGGCATCTCGATGTCGGGGTCGAAAATGTTTTCCTCGGGATCAAGCTCAAACTGAAAATCCATGTCAATGTCATGTCGCGACTGCTGTTCGGGATCAAGATCAACATCCCCTTGTTCAGGTCCGGAGGCATCCTGGTAGGTGCTGGGATCGTCAAAGTCCAGATTCAAGAGCCTTTCAAGGTCATCTCTCGCCAGTTTGGTGCTGAGGATATCACCGAGTTCTTCAGCAGTGGAAGGTCTAAGGTGCTCTTCTGCTACAAGATGACATCTACCCGCGAAGGACACCCACCAATTTCCGCCTTCAGCACCTATGATGGTACCCGGACCCCGCCACTGTCCTCTCTTAGTGGCCACCTTCTCGATCCGGTAGAAGCACACTAGCTCCCCAACGCGATATCCTCCACGCTTAACCCGAGCCCTCTGCAGCAGTGAACGACGGAACTTGGTATCAAGCTGAGTCCTGAAGAAAGCCATGCGGGCAGCCGTCCTGATCGCGACTTCCTTCTGCCGTTGGCGGTCCTGAGACATCAGTTCAATAAATCTTTCTTCATCTCCGCCTGAGCAAAGCTCTTCAGCGACCCTGGGATCACGTCCGAAAACAGCTTGATTAGGCGAGAAACCATGCCTCCTTCGCAACTCGTTCTTTGCACTATTGCAGGCTTGGATTGCAAGGTCAATGTCCTCTGCTCCAACACTCTTTTCATCGATGACCCTTTGGAGGATCTCCTGGAACCAAAGTCCGTGCCGCTCAATCACTCCCTGCTGCCAGTGTGCCTGCCCCGCCGCTGACCTAATCTTGCAGCCGTGGAACTCAGCGTACTTCGCGAGGCCGGCTTGCAGCCCGGTTTCCAAATCTGCAGAGATCGTGCCTGGAGACCCAAACACGTTTCCCCACAACTGAGTGAACTTCTTGGCGAATTCGGCAGCACTATGACCTTCGATTTTACAAACAAGATGGAAAGTAGTCGCATGATCGATCACCGACAGAAGCTCATGGCGTACACGGTTGGTGTCGAACACATGAAAGACATCAATGCTGACAAGTTGGTTCATATCAAGGAGTGAGGGCAAAGTGGCTGGTCTAGGTGTCCCGGTATGCCGATTTCGATCACAGACTTGGCAGCGTAAGCTCTTGCAAGCCTTCACCACATGTTCGTCTGCGCCAACGTAGCGCAAGTGTCGTGCCATATCCTGAGCTGAAGGATGGCCGAGGTTTTGATGTAGACGAATAAGAGCGCTTTGGACATGCTTGGGTACATTACCTTCAAACTTGATCTCTTTGACGCTGTTGTCGGGATGCTGTCCATTCCGTGCTCCCCGTCCGTCTTCATGACTAGTCACATTCGCATCCTGATTGTCGGGAGGTTGATAGCAGTCATGTTGGCAAACCTGCGACCCAACCTTGAGGATTCTAGACGACTCTTTTTCTTCAAAGGAGCAGGGGTAGGCATCAACGAGATACTCCAGGAAAGCAGTCTCCCAAAACTCCGCGGTGATATCATCCTGGTACACGAACATCCCTCCCTCACCAATCTGCGCATCAACCGTCCTACGCAAGCGAGGTATGGCTTCAGGTCCTTTTCCGTGTCCTTGTACGCAGACAACATGGGGCTTGAGGGTGGTGATCGTGTCGATGAACTTTTCCTTGTCGTCGTCCTGAAGAAAATCTTTCCAGGATAAGGGTTCTACGACTGAGCTGCCCGACTCTGCAACGTCACATGTGAGGTCTTGACCTCCAATCTCGAAGAGACAAGCTCGTGAGGGATCATTACCTTTGGGGAGAAGCTCGGAAACAAAGGACGATGCAGCTGCCAAACCAATCGTGAACATGGCACTCGCTCTCTGAGCACTCTTCCACAAAGTGCGGCGCACACTCTTCTTCGGACGGTGCCTATGTTCAGAATGTTGAGGTTCATCTCGTACATGTTGATCGGGAGGAGCATCTCGGCCAACAGGAAAGCCAAAGCTCCTGAGCAGATCACGTTCTTGGCGCGAAAGATGCCCAATGCCCCGGGTGGTGTACACTGTGATCGTTGCTCGGTTCCCTTCCCAATGCTCAACACCGTGTCTTCTCTTTGGATCAAAAGCATGAGCTCTACCCTTGGTGTCAACGGCCGTGCCTGTAGCCATAGTGCCGTCACAAAGTCGAACTTGTTGATCTTGTCTAGCCTCGGATTCAAGCTGGTCTGGTTCAAGCCACAGCCTACCGCCCACAAAGGTCCCGAGAGTGAGGTTCCAGTTCTGGGAATCGACGTGATTGTGAACATCTTTGTGGGGGGTCGTAGGACAGTTCCACCCGAGCTGTACCGAAGACCATGACCCCTTAGCACCGTGATGCTTCATGTAACGGTTGATGTAGATGACGACATTGGGGTAAACGCAAGTCTTCTGGATGATTCCGTAGTGGTTGCCGTGGGAGTAAGCGCCGAATGCTACACTGGCGGTCCCCTCGTTAATCTTTCTCTTGCGAGCTGCTTGGCATTCGGTACACACATGATGGAGGATCTTTTCACAACTCGCGTGACTGAAGTCCTTCTGTTGCCAAAGCCGACGGGCAAAAGCATCGACGGACAAACCATCGAGCTCATCTGTTGCAACTTCCAGACAATCACAAAACTCATCATCTCCAGACTGCTCCGAGTCTTTGGAATTGATGTGGCCTTCATCGAAACCCTCGGGATCTGCACGAGGCCGTATGGAGTACTCCAACCCAGCCTCGCTATCGAGGTCATCATCATCCTCTACATCCCGTGTTTGTCGCGAAGCGCCGCCATGCGCGCCATGAGCTGGTTCATCTCTTCCTGAACCTCCTCGGGAACATCTTGCTTCATCGGCTGCGGCTTCGAATCTGACTCTCGGTCGCGTCGCTTGGCGATCATCTGGGGGTCGGGAGTGAACGGCATGTCCTTCGGCGGCTCTGGGTACCCCTTTGCCTTTGCCGTGACTGACCCCTTGACCTTCTTGGGAAGCTCGTTCTCTAGGATCCGTGTGGAAACCGCCGACCACTCGCTCGAGAGGGATCTCGTGTCCTCGGGAGATGGAGTGTAGGGGATCTGAGCCGTCTCCTCCGGGTCGGGGATCTCCTCCGTGTTGAACTTCATCCTCGCAAAATTGGCTAGGCGAATCAGGTCCGGCTGGGAGCCGTCCCGATTGGCGTCCGTCTCGGCAATGCTCCAGCGCAGGTAGGACTCTGGCACCTCGTGGTAGAGCCGTCCTCGGAAACGCCCGAACGAAACTACTGTGTTCGCCGGACTCCCCGCACTGTCCCGAATCGCTCGCATCATCTGCGCCTTCGTGGGCCTGTCGGGAAGAGTCAGCTTCATCTCCTGCGCGGTCTCCAGGAGCTGGGCATGGGACATCTGCGACAGCCCCTTCGGTGTGTTGTCGATGCCGGTGCGCTGCTTCATCTTGTCGATCACTGCCTGGCGCACCTCTCCGGCCGTCCAGCTGTGGTGAACTAGGCAATCCAGTTTCTGGGCCTCGTCCAGGAGCTCTTGCTTCGTCATCTTCCACGGGCTCTTCACTCCGCCCTTGCTGGCCATTGCCTTCGAGAGGATCTTCACAACAAGCGGGAGGCCTACCGGGATGTCTCACTCGAGCGAAAACTGTGCGACCGACCCAGAGAGTTGGGTACGCCCCTTTCGCATCACTCTGCCACATGTCATGGAGGATCTGTAATGGGTGATGTGACTCGCAACTGATCGCCGTCGTGCTCCTAACAACCCCAATGGAGCCAAGGAGCTTTGCTTTGATGTCGCATTGCGATGTAACCCATGCTTCTGGATCAAACAGCCCTCGCCTCGGAATGACATGAATCCGAATGAGAGCGTCCCCCTTCTCAATCCAGAAATCCTTCGAAAGTTTAGTCTGAGACCACCATCGGGCAAACACATCTGGGTTCATAGGCTCCGCGCTCAGAAAGTTCTCAACGAAGGCGTGGATCTTCTTGGGGTAGAAGATTTTGGTATCTGTTCTCGTCGATGATCTTCCGTCAATACCTTGTTGAGGCGAAGTGGTGCTTTCAGGTTCCTGTTGGGCCTTAGGAGGTTCAGCGCTCGGATCGGCTTCACTTGCACATGTCATGTGAACCGAGTACTGATTCCCGGACTGCGGAAGGATGCGCAACTCGTCACCGGCCCACTCTTCGGGCGTCGGAAATTGAAAACCTGCAATGCTCTGAGGACGAACGACAATTGCCGGATGACCTGACTCGGTAGCGGCAAGCTGGTAATCCTTGATTCCGAGATGTTTGAAAGTGGCACTCCCGAGCTCGACATCATATAGCATACCCAATCCACTCAACACCCGTTTGCTCAGCAGAAGAGGAACGTCACCCTGCACGATGGAAGCCCTGACAAGGAAGACCCGATTGTAAACCTTAATCATGATCGTGGCAGTGAAGGTCGCCCGGAACAGCTTTGAAGCCCCAAAGCGGAAATCATCAACCGTGTTGATGAGCTGAGTCTCGAGGCCTGCCTCGCGAGCGGCCCTGAGGTACTGATCCAACCACTGCTGTCCAGCTACCGTCTTACTGCATGCAGTATCAGTGATGGCCAAAAGTGAACCGCCCTCGTAGGCCCCAACCTCGAATGCAACCTGGACGACCGAGGACTGGTTCCCATCGTTGGAGTCAGTGACATGCGCGGTCTTTGGGGGTGATCCCTTAGCCGAACCGTTAGCTCCCGAAGCCTGATTTAAAGGACATTCCGGATCTTTGTGCCAATGTCCCCGTCTACGGCACCCTGCACAATACGACCTGCTTTTCGCAGCCTGAAGTCGCTCCCTGGCCTGGTCCTCGGAGAACGGCTTGGTTTCGCCCGGCTGCCCTGAAAGCCGAGAGAAGTCAACCCCTCGGGATTTCGCGACTTCTCTGTACCGTGCTTTGGCGGTTTCCTGGGCAACGTAGGCTTCACATAGGGCTTGGGCGGTTTCCTCGGGATAGACACTCTCGGTATCATCATCAGCACCTGGAGGGCTAGGGTCATCATCTTCTTCAACACCAGCAAGATAAGCACCACGAACATTCCCAGGCTTGCCGGTCTTGGGATCGATGAAGGGCCGCTTGGGCTGCCAAGGGGGCTTCAATGACTTCTCGTGAAGGACGGCGGCTTTCTGAAGCTTGGAGGTACAGTACTCATTCCCGACGCTAGCCAACAAACTCAGCTCCTCAGTGCTTGTTAGCCCCAACGAAGATAAGTAAGCCCAAGCCCGTGCCACTTCTGGGAGCTTGCAGTCTATCTCAAGGAGGCGGGTGTGCGCCCTGTCGAAAGCCGAGTTGAACTCGCGGACAGATTGATTCTGCTGTCTACGAAGACGGCGAAAGAATGTAGTCAAAGCATCGGCTATCTTACTGACCTCAACTTCTTGATATCGTTCTTGAATCCAGGCCTTGAAGACTTCGACACCCCGTGGCCCTGAGAGATCTTCAACCGCCAATTCTTCCGCCTCAACCCATGCTCTGCCCGACAAGTGCTGATACAGAACCAAAGCTTGCTGATGTGGGGGCGTGCGAGTCACGCGGCACCACGCGGCCACCTGTCGCAGGTATGATCTCGCACCTGTTCCTAGCTCATCTCCAGTCCCCTCCGCGTCGAAGGTGGGAACTGACATCTTCTCACCGAACCCCTTGGCCTCCGGTGTCACTTCCACGGGCGGCGTGGAAGTCGAGGATCTTGTCGCTGTCGTTTCCTCTGCAGTGCCGGCTGATGCCTGTCGGCGAAACTTCTCGCCTGCGTCTTCTGAATCATTGGATCCCATCGGTTCATGGGCTCTCGCTGAACCCTCCGATGAATGGGAGCCGGCTTCTGCAGAGGTGTCTGAGCTCTGCTGCTTGTCTGACTCAGAACCCAAATGGCCTGAGTCGTCACGATCATTGGCCCATCTACCCCATGAGCCCGGAGAACTCCACCATTGATGCCCGTAACTTCCAGTCCCCGGCTGAGACCACCACCCATAGCGATCCCATGAAGACTGTCCCCAAGCATCACCCCAGTTTGGATAGGCATAGCTACCCCAAGACTGTCGATTCGAAGAAGAATCCCACGAGTAATCATAGGACCAGGTTGAAGCAGGTGTCTGCCCCGGCCCGTCATTGCCAGTGCTCGCACTGGCCGGATCTCCCGGTGTGGATGTCTGAGAAGCTTCTGCAGTTTCACCGGGAGCTGGGGACGAATTGTAAGAGGCCCACGAAGCCCAGGGATCATCTGAGTCACTTGGGGCCATGGCACCGAACGAAAACTAAGCGGGAGGAGGCTCACTAGACCACCCACCGAAGAACCAAACCACAACAACCGACTAACCCAGGACCGCGGCCTGGGCTCCGCTACCAATGACAAACCTAGCGGTAGCAACCCGAACCCAAAACAACCCTAAGAGCCCCCTGCCCGCGGGCCTCGACTGCCGCATCTGCGGCCGCGCTTCTTTTCCTCGAAACAAAAGCCTCCGAGCGTGCCTTCGCAGTGAGAGCTTCGTTTGACATTTAGGGTTTAGGGGTTCAGGGTTTAGGGGTTTAGGGGTTTAGGGGTTCAGGGGTTTAGGGGTTTAGGGGTTTAGGGGTTTAGGGAAGTTTAGGGTTTAGGGTTTAGGGGTTCAGGGTTTAAGAGTTTAGGGTTTGGGGGTTTAGGGGTTCAGGGTTTTTAGGGGTTTAGGGGTTTAGAGGTTTAGGGAAGTTTAGGGTTTAGGGTTTAGGGGTTCAGGGTTTAAGGGTTTAGGGTTTGGGGGTTTAGGGGTTCAGGGTCTAGGGGTTTAGGGATTTGAGGGGTTTAGGGGTTTAGGGGTTTAGGGAAGTTTAGGGTTTAGGGGTTTAGGGGTTCAGGGTTTCAGGGTTTAGGGTTTAGGGGTTTAGGGTCTGGGTTTAGGGTTTAGGGTTTGGGTTTAGGGTTTCTATATTACGAGTACATGATAGCGTGTAGGGTTTCTACTTCAGGAATCACTACTTATGATGATTTGGGAAAGTGCAAACGGTCAGCTAAAAGAGCCTTAACCGAAGGCACCCGACCCAATCCTTCCGGGGATCCTTACGGGAATCCTCAAGGAACCCTTACAGGAAGCCCTAAGGCGTAGAGGAGCACCAAAAGGAATCTTCAAGGGACTCCTCATAGGAATCCTTACAGGATTCCTTGAAGAAGCCCCTTATAGGAACCCTCAAAGAAACCCTGAGAAGTTGTCCTTTTGACTGCTTTCTTGGTTTCTAACTCTTAGGTTTAGGGTTGCCTTTCCTCTCAGGATGTAAGGCTTAAGACACAGGCTTTGGGGTTTTTGCTTTGGAGCTTTAACAGTGGGCTACGCCGTTACAAACCCTAGAGTACCCGTACCCCAGCCGCCTACTTCCTGCAGTGTTTGAGACCTACGAAACCTAAAGCCTCATGCTGTGCAACGCCGGAGCTTTCGGACAGGAGGGACCCTTCACTGCCCAACCCTGCCCAACCTAGAGGTTCCGTAGTAGTTCCTTGTTGGGGTTCAGATTTAGAACCCTATAAGGTAACCCCAATAAGCAACTATCATGGAGCCTATGGGTATGTAAGCCCGAAGCCTTCATGCTCCTGCAGGGAATATACACTGCAGCCCTCCAATCTACGATGCCCTGATGGCTGGCCCTGAAATGCGCACTGAATCCTACATTAGTTATCCCACGGCGCGCTACAAATCTCGGGAACTCCTGCGCAAAACGCCCTTTAGTGTAAAGCAAGCGGTCCTGAGGTGTCGCAGGGGGCTGCCGCAGTTGAACACTGCTTGGACCTGGTCTGTTTGGTGGGCCGTTCTGCAGTAGCATCAGCTTCGGTCTAAGGGTAAGGATCAGAACCCTACACCAGGAATCCTCAAACCCTGATCCCCACACCTCATGTCTAAACCCCACAAGCCCTACCTGCAACGCCAAATTTACCTCTACGGAACAGAAAGATCATCATATTGAGGACAGGACAACAGCCAGAAACGTGAAGCATAGCTTTCATGAGCTGCAGGAAAGCGCAAACCCCGAGACGGTGGGGCCCTCGCATTCCACCGCCTTGCCGCTCAGCAGCGCACGCACGATGCTCCGGGCGCTCTTGGCGGCAGTGGGTCGGGAGCTCCGCTCGTCACCCTCAACCCTATAAGCCCCAAACCCTAAACGCTAAACTCCAAACCCCAAGCTCTAAGTAGGCTGCAGGTTTCGGAATAGGATTTGATCAGCGGGTTATTTTGAAGTTCAAGGCTTCTGATTTTGGGGGCGCTTGCTTTAGGTGGGCTTCAGGTCTATCCCACGGCTCTCAGGGGGATCTTGCGGTGAGGAAGTTTAGGCGGCACCGTTGCTGCAGCTTCGACTCGTTTGACACCGACTCATACTGCACTGGCTTCAAGAGTGAGAGGAAGCTGCATAATGGTAGATGGGCTGCAGGCTATGATGAAGCAGTATTAGCACTGGAACCTCAGACCCCAAACCCGTGATCATATTACTTGCCTACTGATGTTACTCATTAGAAACCGTAAACCAAAAAAACTCAACCTCACAGGTCTCCTGGCTTTCTAGCCGTCTCGCGAGGATTGGTGCCCAATGAGTTTAGTCAAAGGGTAAAAGGAGGGACCCCAAATAAGGACCCCTAGGTACATACCCATAATATAGCCATTATATACCCATTATATAGCCCATCATAGAGTAGGGGTCCCCATTAAGTCCCTCCTTTTCCCCTTTGATTCAGGGTTCACCACTCTTCCGTCGCCTCCAAGCAGTGACCTCTGGATTCGGATCCCTACACAGCAAGGAAAAAACACTGGAACCCTCGAGTCCCCTAGGAGGCCCAGTATCCTAGGAAGAAAAAGGGCTCCCTTTTTGGTATTGGGCAACTTTTTATTTTTTGGAACCGAGGACTACAAAAATGGAATAAGGGCACTACTGGGCATCCTGGTCCCCTAAACCGAATCCTCACAGCCGCTCGGGCCCCGAATAATGATGTAAGCACTCCTGGGGTTTAGCTTATAGGGTTTCGTTACCCTCTCCAATCTTTTCCCTGCTCCTGTGATCCCTAAGCAACCCCCCATAGGAAACCCTTTAAAAGAACCCTGTAAGGACCCCTCTAATTAGTGTAAAGGATCCCTACATGGGTAGTTGTCAAAATTATGGTCCCTAACTGGGTACCCAAATGTTTAGGTGCCGTATTATAGTAGGGACCCAAAAAGGGACCCTAATTTTTTTTTGACAACCACCCACATAAACCCTGACAGCAGCCATGGCCTGGCTTTTGATGAGGGGCTTCTTCTCAAGCTCCGGCGGGCCTGGATCGGGCTTCGGGCTTCGAGTTTCTTCGGGCTTTTGAGTTCAGGGTTCAGGGCTTTGGATTTGGGGTTCTGGGCTTCGGGCTTCGAGTTTAGGGCTTCGGGTTTCACTGCATATTTACGATTTCCGAGATGTCTTATGTTGGGAGAGTACGGCATTCGGGTTCAGAGGCCTATGGTGGCTTAGTAGAGGCTTTTGGGGCTTGGGTTCTGGGTCCCGCCCTAGATTATTAAAGCTCCGCCACATCACCGACGCACTCGGAAGACGGCAGGGAGTAGGTTTGAGTATTGGGGGGTTCCGGCTTCTACGGTTTTGGGAGCATGTCTGAATTGAGGGTGTGTGTTTGATCGTTCAAGCAGTCCTAAAAAGTACAACATAGGGGTACGGTACAGGCACCTTACCCGGGCCGCCCAGAGCTACTCCCAAACACGTGGTATTTCTTAGAAGCGGCCCCCACCCTGTAATAGTGACTATAAGGATTGTATTAGGGCCCCATAATTATGTTCCTATAAAACCACTATTACAGGGTGGGGGTGCCCTTTCTAAGGTATTTCCAGTCTTAGTAAAACAGCTCATGGCTAGGATCGCTTCATTGAGGGAAGCAAGACAGTCAAAACAAGCAGTCGCAACGGATGGTCTCCCAGAACATGCCGACTTTCCATGTGAGTCCCGAAGGCCACGACCCTAAACCCTGAACCCTCACGCCAACAAAAAATTGCAGTCACCTGCAAGAAGCCCGAAAAAAATCGATGTTCGCCAGCCCCAGACAGAGCACCTAAAACCGCAAAATCCAACAGGCATAAACCCTACATCCTGCCAAAACAGACGCTCAACCCGCAAAGCCTAAAACCCTGCAAAACTAAACCCTGCTAGAACCTACATATAACAAGGTATTTTAAATAGCTAAACTTGATTGTGCTGTAGTGGTAAGAACCTATATACTGATTCCGAATCACTCCTGAGGAGCACCCAGAGCAAAAGGCCGCGCCTTCGCCGTTCGAGCTCTGACTCGGTGAGCTCTCCGCCACTGACGCCCCCTGGCTAGGAGGGGCCTTACAAAGCTTAAGTGTTAGGGTTTTGCAGGCTCATGCAGAGCTTTTAATCCCTCAGCCCTAAACTAGGTGGCTTAGGGTGGCAGTGAGGCTGCGGAGGCCCCAGGTGAGCAAAAAGAACACATGCAGCAGCCTCGGAAACTTTGTGAAGGTGGCGAAAGAGATCGCGCCCGGCTTCTGGTTTTGTGTCAGCGCTTCATGTCATTCACTACATAAGGAATCGTGCCCAAATTACACGGGTATCCTTGACATGATATAATCGCGGCATACCGCCTTAATGAGGGCCTATCGGGCTTTTAGTCTGAGAACACCAAGACTCTTCAAAAATCAAGCCTCGTTGACGCAAGATCTGGTAAACTAACAAGCACTAACTAATTAAGAATCTCATTCCTTAGGGCTCCTTACTACTATTATAGCTGCAGTATGACAACCCAACTCTAATTTTTAAGGTCCCTGTATGACCAACACGCGGTCGGGGCCCAGCCTGTTGGTCCCCAAGGTTAGGAGCGTAGCCGAAGAAACGCTGACAGGCCTGGATCACTTCTTCTTTTTTTGAAAGCCGCTGGGGACTTGCTATAGGTATTAAGAGTGTAACTGTAACTTACACCCTAAACCCTAAACCCCCAAACCCTAAAAAGGTCTAGGGGTTGAAAGGTTTAGGGTTTATAGGAGCTTCCGGGGGGGGGTCGGCCTCGGGACCATGAAAGAGAGACGATTGCTTGCCCGGCGTTGCCTCGACCCTTTAGGGTTTAGGAAGTTTAGGGTTTAGGAAGTTTAGGGTTTGACTACGCGATCCTTTCGGATAGACCTCAAGAGAACCCCTAAAGGATCCCTTACAGGAACCCTTAAAGGGGCTTAGGAAACAAGGTCCCGTAGAACCCTTCTGATACCCTTGCCAACCATCATAAAAAACCCTCTCT